ATATTTGTGAGGCAAAGGAAGTGAACTAGGAGTTCAAGCCCAAGTGGAAATATTTCACCATGATGGAATTTTCCATTGTCCAGGGTCACAGTCTTGGGTGTGTTCTTGGGCTGACTCTGAAGCAGGATTGTGTTAGAGGTTCCTCTTCTTACCTGTGCCAGGTGCTCTTGTTCCCTCTTTTCTAAACAACATACACCCTCACAGTTGCTTCCTGTTTTCCAAAGCTGGAGGTAAGCCCAGGAAAGAGTCAGAACTCTTAAGTCACGTGCTTTTCAGATCCATCTCTCTGGGTTCCCAAAAGCCTTAGGCCACAAAGGTTTCTGTCCTTGGTATTTACGTGGGTGTCTTCCCCAGGGGTCTCAAACTCCAGGGCCTGAAGCTGGATTATCATCCCCTACTGAAGTGTCTCCTCCTATGGAGGATCCCCACAATAATAATAAAAAAAAACAAACAAGAAACATGAGGTGTAAGGGACAAGAATCAAGGAAAGAAACATGGAGGCGCCAAGTCAAAAGCACCAAAGCTGCCATTCGTTTATGTTTCTTTTTTTTTTTTTTTTTTTTTTTTTTTTTTTTTGAGTGGCTTTTTTTTTTTTTTTTTTTTTTTTTTTTGTCTTTTTGAGAGAGGATCTCCTTATGTTTCTTTAAAGAAACTAATCACATTGGTTCTTATTCTTCATTAATAAAACAAACACATTTTCTAGCTGCCTTGCTGAATTATTGGAAGGAGCAAAACTTTTATGTACTCTTATTGATGTGGTTGTATAATGTTTAGAAATCAATAACTGAATATATCATGTAGTAAGAGCATACTTCTCAACCTCAGTCAGCCACTCCGTGAAACTTTCAGTGAACTCTGGCAAATTTCCCGTCCCCCACCACAGGTCTTTCCTCCGGGATATTGTGAGAAACCTTTCTTCAGATGTTTCCTTTTGTCTACAGAGCTCTTGCACAATCTTTTAGAGGGCTCTCCAGAAAGCCCTTTCCTCATTTTTTTCCCTATGAAAGATGAACAAAGATACACAGGACCCTTTTGAGCCTCCCCTCTGCATAGGCTGCAGATACCTTGAGTGTGGAGAAGTTGAAGGATGTCACAGGCAGACTGGAGGCTGTTCTCATGGCTAGAAATGAGGCATGCCATAGAAGAAGAGAGGCTTTGGGTGCTTGTCAGCAATTAAAAAGCCCAAGATTTTTTAAGTGTGTGCATCTAAAACAAAATGCAGTTAGGCCTCGTGGCACAAGCTTATAATCCCAGGGTTGGGGATGCTGAGACAGGAGGATTGACAGTTCAAAGCCTGCCTGAGCTACAGTGAGCTCAAGGCCAGTCTGGGCAGCTGAGTGAGATCTTGCCTCAAAGTAAAATAATAAAAGGGCAGGAAGCCAAGTGTGGTGGTACCCACCTATAGTTCCAGCACTTAGGGGAGAGAAGCAGAAGGTTTAGGAGTTCAAGGTCATCCTTAGCTATATAATGAATTTGAGGCCAACCTGGACTACATGAGACTATGCCTAAAAATATTTTTTAATTAAATTTAAAAGAGAAGGCTGCGAATGTAGCTGAGTGGTAGAGTTTGCCCAGCATGTAAGAAGTCCTAGTTCTGTTCCCAGTGCTGCCAACAAACAAAACAAAACCAAGAAAACTCCCAAAATGTTGCCAAGTGTGGGGCACACACCTGTAATTCCACTCAAGGTACTGAGGTAGAAGGATGGCAGGTTTGGGGCAAACCTGGACTATATAGCAAGACCCTGTCTCAAAACATACAAACAAACAAAAAGGTTGTTTGGGCTGGAGGTGTAGTTCATTGGTAAAGCACATGCTTAGTACACATGATGACTTGGGTTCAATCCTAGAACTGAAAAAAGAAAAAAAAAGTGAATTAACAACCCTGTCTTATAAATCTACTGGCTCATATCTACCTGTTCACAGTTTGATACACTATTGACTGAAAACTTCCTGCATTTTTAATACAACTATTCTATTTCAAGAACAGGCTGTAGGGTCCATGCACAATTTTAAACATCCCTCTATTTCTCTGATCACCTGCTGTATGGAAAATCAGGAAATCACTGAGACAAACGTCTTTTTTTTTTAATTTCACAGTCTCTGTGTGAAATGTGTTTGAGCCCATTTACCCCTGTGACAAATATTGGTTGGTCTCCCATTGTGTCACTTGAAGAAACTCAGTATCTTTATGCCAAGCAACTCAACCCTTCAAAATGGATATTGTGGAAACCAGGCCTTGGATTTTAATTCTGAATCATTTTAGTGAAGTGTCAACCTTGAACAGAAGATTGTATCTTATCATGCAAGCAAATGGAACGCTACTTTGCTGATTTCTTAAACCATTATAAACATTAATTAATGACTGTGTGTACCGTTTCACTGGTGTCATATTATACAAAGTATTTGTGATTACATGAAGATCAGTAACAGAGGCTCCTTAGCTGCATGTTTCCTTTTTTTATTTTTTATTTTTATTTTATGTGTACCAATATGTTGCCTGCATGTATGTGAGTGCACCCATGTCGTGCAATGCCGGGAGGTCAGAAGAGGGTTTCGGATTCCCCTGGAACTGGAGTTAAGGATGGTTCGTAGCTGACATATGGGTGCTGGGAATCGAACCTGGGTCCTCTGCAAGAGCACAGTCAGTGCTCTTAACTGCTGAGCCGACTCTCCAGCCCCAGCTGCATGTTTCATAGGTCTGTATATCAGGTGCCCTCTGCAGAAGGTAGGTGCTGGTGGTGAGGTTCATAGAAAATGTTAGCCTAGGAGCCTCAAATTCTATGGTGCTCAGAAGTCATCCATACAAATGATGTTAGCTGGGAGTAGTGATACATGCTGTTATCCCAGCCCTCAGGGGAGGCTGATGTAGGAAGATTTGGGGTTCAAGACTACCCTGGGCTAAAAATACAAATACAAATACAATTTCCACTGCCGTGTGGAAATTGTTCAGTGCCCTCAGATAAGCTTAGAAAGTGTTTAGATAGTCTTAGCAAAAGAAGGCTGACTTGTAGAATGGCGTTTCGAAGAAAGCCTATGGGAGAAAAGGCAGCTCACCTTCACATCGATGAAATGTGACATATTTGGATATGTAGACAGTCAAAAGGACATCTCAGGTGAGACTCTTAAAATCAGGAGCTATTTACATATGGGATGGAGTGATGTGACTGTGCTTAGGGAAAAAGGGTGATAGAATATGTAGCTAAAAAGACAGTTTGGAGCTTCTTAACAGGTGTGAGTATTCAGAAAGAGGCAGGGCTATGGACAGTAATAGGCAGGTGTGTGGCCCAAGATTCTAGAAGACTATCAGCAGAGAAGGAGGAAAGACAGGTTAGGCAGAGGGACCACAGGCCCAGGAGGAGGCTGGGTAGTGTCCTGAACATAGTGTGAGGTTTGTTGTGGCCAGTGTGTTTGGAGAGCAGGACAGACTGTGAGACAAATGTGGGCAGGAAGGATGGCACAGATTTTGAAGAGAGCTGTATGCCCAGGTAGGAAGTTGGTGCTTACCTCATATAGACAAGAACCAAGAAAGAATTTCTGAGAAAGGTAACACTGGACAGGATGGAGCATAGGCTATGGGCTCAGCAGACTTTCCAATAAATGGCCTTGTAAAAGTTTTAGACCATGTAAATAATACATGGTCTCTACTGAGCCTCTCCCTCTCCTCCTCCCCCTCCCCCCTTTCCTCCCCCCTCTCTCTCTGTTCCCCCTTTCTCCCTCCCCCCTCCCTCTCCTTCTGTGAGTCAGTTGCCTCACTCCATCCCCCCCCCCGCCGGGGGTCAGCTATCCCCCCTCCATCCCCCTCCCCCTCTCCCTCTCTCTCCCCCTCTCCCTCTGTGGGTCAGCTGCCTCACTCCATCCCCCTTCCCCCTCCCTCTCTCCCCCTGTCTCTCCCTCTCCCTCTCTCTCCCACTCCCTCTCCCTCTGTGGGTCAACTGTCTCACTCCATCTCCCTCCCCCCTTCCCCTCCCTCTCTCTCCCACTCCGTCTCTCTCCCACTCCCTCTCCCTCTGTTGGTCAGCTGCCCTACTCCATCCGCAGTGTATGTCTCACAAGGATCATATGAGGGAAGACATGTGAAAGTCAGATGTCACAAGAGGCTACAGAGAAGAGATAGTGCTTAGAACACCAGACCAACACTAGGACATGGTGGGGGTTAGAGAATCTGGTCAGTGGGACACTTTCCCTCAGCCTAGGGAAGAGGAAAGGAGAGCCTTACACACCACAGAGCAACAGACACAGTGGGGCGTGGAAGAGAAAGAATGAGGATGATGGAAATTGTCATGGGTCAGAATCATGATACTTGGCACTGCACAGATGGGAGAAGACAGAGGCCTTGTGTGGTATGGTCCTCGGATTCCCAGTGTTATGGTGCCGTGGCATGTGTCTCGTTCTGTTGCTCGCTCTTATTTTAGAATTCTCGCTCTTATGTTCAGTGACTGAAGTATTCTGAGAGAATGTAATGCTAACGCTTTCCCATCTTTTCAGCTTTTGCAAAATAGCCAATTGTAGTGTAGTGGAGGACAGCTCCACAGAAACCTTGGCATCCTCTCCATTAACAGTATAAAGAAATACAGAAAAAGTAGAAGCATGTTTGATGGAGGAGTCGGAAAAACAAATATAAGGTTCTGGAACTGGGACCTATCTTTGAAATTGTTTATAAGCTTAGACAATTCTCCATCAAGATGATTTGCATGTTGCCGGCCTTCCTGTCCTTCTGTCCTCCTAGATCTAAAGTCTCTTATTTTAGCAGGTCTCCTAAACCTGAGTGCCACTGAGACTGTGCACATCTGTCATCCCAGTGCACTAAGCCTCTGTGTTTAAATACACATGCAATCGTCCGTGTCCACAGCGCATGCCTCCAGCTAACACTTAGGATGCTTGGTGGTTAGACTAGAAAGGGCACAAAACCATTTTTTTTTTTTCTGGTCTGTTTGGCAATTAACCATTCACTGGCTTTTTTTGTTGTAACATGCACTTCCTTTCTCTTGTTTTCATTCAAGCTATATACGCCATGGAAATTAATGTGGAGAAAGACAAACAAACAGGAGAGACCAAGATTCTCTCTGCATCCACCATTGGCCCAGAGGGGGTTCACCAGAGAGGAGTCAAAGTCTATGATGATGGTACCAAAGTAGTGTATGAGGTTCACTCAGGAGGCACCGTAGTAGAAAACGGAGTACACACATTGAGCGCAAAGGATGTGGAGGAGCTTATTCAGAAGGCTGGACAATCAAATTTAAGAGGAGGACACACGTCAGAAAGGACTGTTACTGCAGATGGGAACCTCGGCCATCCCAAGGAACACATGCTCTGTAAAGAAGCCAAGTTAGAAATGGTGCAGAAGTCTAGGAAAGATCACTGTTTGGGGAACCCAGGGCAGCAAGCCCAGGCCCCCAGCATGGAAGGGCCGGAGGCAAACCTGGATCAACCAGTCACCATGATTTTCATGGGCTACCAGAACATCGAGGACGAAGAGGAGACTAAGAAGGTGCTGGGCTACGACGAAACCATCAAGGCAGAATTGGTCCTTATTGATGAAGATGATGAGAAGTCGCTAAGAGAGAAGACAGTGACAGACGTGTCCACGATTGATGGGAATGCAGCTGAGCTCGTGTCCGGGAGGCCGGCGTCAGACACCACAGAACCCTCGTCCCCAGAAGGCAAGGAAGAGAGCCTGGCCACAGAGCCAGCCCCAGGTACCCAAAAGAAAAAGCGCTGTCAATGCTGTGTTATCATGTGACCACTTCTTTCTCCTCCCCTTTCTTCTGGGCAGCCTCTCTACTCTCCACCACTTAAGTAGACCTCACTAACTGGGATACTGTGAACTGGAAGCAAACACCTGCCTTGCCTCGCAGTTGGATTGCTCTGCTCTCTCACTTAACGTTTTTCCTTCTCCTCACCTGGGAAACGACGTGCATGTGTGTGCTTCATTTTCTTCCCAAGAACTTGCCTTTCCTCTAAACCTTTCCTTGTGTCTTCAGGAGCGAATCGGTTCCGTACTGCTCAGTTGGAGTGGATTCTTCATAGCAACCAGTTATCTAGTAGCCTTAATTGACTTGACTGGACTCGAACCCGTTGGCACCTGGGGTTTCATTTTGTTGTGTGTTCCTCTAATGTACACACACACACACACACACACACACACACACACACTCCCTGACTTCTCACCTGCCTCCCTTGCTGTGTGACTCTTTGTTTTTCTATCTCGTGTGGCAAAATGCTCTGGGCTCTAGGCGGTTGCTAGTGTAGCCAAAAGTGGACCTACCTTAATCTGTCCGTTCTAGGGTCATGCTTTTTTGCTGCCTTGCATAAGCTTCCAGATAACAGTATCGTGCAGCTCTGGCTTTCCTTTGTCAAAACAGAAATGAAGTTGATGCAAAAGCGAAGAACCCAGTGCTCGTCCCATCTGAAGTGTAGGACTGGCTCATCACCTGCTGGTCAGCAGCTCTCTCGCTCTCTCTCTTTCTATGGCTTACCTGAGGAACCCTTTATACAAGATTTTCTAAGGACCTAAGACAACCATTGTTCTCAGCATCCTTAGTGACCTCCACATTTAGACAAACCAGTTCATGAGCCTTGTTTCTATTCTTCCCCCCCAGAATGTAAAGTTTTATATTGTTTTCTTTTTCAAATTTCTGATTGTTTTCAAAGAGGGGATCATTTTGAGAAGTATCTCTGCAGTGACCATATTTCTTAAAACAATCTTTCTGACGTATGGGGGTTGCTGCAACACTCCCACTTTATCAAGGATGGTGCTGTATGCATTAATTGTCCATCTACCATGCTAGGCGATTACAGTCTTGCATCTGTACTTTACTTTCTGTCCCCATGGGAAACAGAATGTTTCAGGCAACTTCAACATGTAGGTTTTTCCCACCCTTCAAAATAAAAGTATTTTTGAATGTGAAAAATGTTGAAAGATGAACAAGGATCTTAAATTCTTCCACATGGTTTGCCTGAGTTTGGTACATTCCTGGGTTTCTTAAGCTTTCGTTTCTTTGATTTCTGGAAATTCTGAAATTCTGAGGAATATTTTTTTTATCTAGAATATGATGAATGGCCATTCACAAACATTGTTAACACTGTCTCAATGTGAACAGCCACATGTATAGTAAAACCAAAGGGAAGAAATTCAAAAGAGAACACTAACATAGAAATTGAATGAAGAGATGATGTTAATGGAATGAGAGATAAATCTACTTTATTTGCCCAAAGGCCCATAATACTGATATAAATTGGTGGCAGACTTGTGTGTGCTCCCGTAGAATGTAACCATATATCATGACCTATTACATTGTCTTTACTTCTGTGGAAAATAACTCAGAAAAAAAAATAAAGTAGTTTGGGAGATTAGACCACAGAACCAACTAAATTTCTCCCATTGCACTTGTTTGATGATAAATCTATTATTTTTTAATTTCTTAGCTTGAAACTCTATTTATTACAATGAGAGGGGAAATGGCATTTTTATTTTTCACTTATTTTTTCAAGTCATTTTGCTTTTATTGAGCAAAAATTAAATAATTTTAAATCTCTGATATGTAAATAAGAAAAAAAAGTTAAAGGAAAAACAAAGACATGAGCCCCAATTCCCAAGGCTGTTCCCTCCACGTTTCCAACTTTAGATGACTGAGGAATTATTACTATGTCTCAGGTTCACCCAAATAGCTGCACATGGAATAAACCCATTCTGTTACCTGAAGACCTGGTTCCATGACAACAGACTTCACTGTTCTCAGCTTCATTTTTCTCCGTACATGGTTATTTAACAGTCCATAGCCCTTGAACAAAATGTGATGCAGGTAAAACCCATTTTCACAGAGGAGTAAACAAAGGAGTTCCCATGTTTTGGGCAATCTATTATTTTAAGAATTTGTTTAGGAAAGGAACAATCTAAAAGTTTACTGTAACTTCTCTTTTTACCCACTTGGGGATTTGAACTGCACAATGTGAGTTTTTAAAAGCACAGTTAGAGAGTGACTATAGATAGAGCTTAAGCCCCATGTGCTTGCTGTTTAGAAAATAGAAGCAGTCTTCCAGGATACACTATTTTCTGCCCTTTCTTCTGCTGGTCAGCAGCTCTCTCTCTCTCTCTCTTTCTATGGCTTACCTGAGGAACCCTTTATACAAGATTTTCTAAGGACCTAAGACAACCATTGTTCTCAGCATCCTTAGTGACCTCCATATTTAGACAAACCAGTTCATGAGCCTTGTTTCTATTCTTCCCCCCCAGAATGTAAAGTTTTATATTGTTTTCTTTTTCAAATTTCTGATTGTTTTCAAAGAGGGGATCATTTTGAGAACTAGTTATTCATGAAGAAAATAGTCCAAACCTCTCATTACAGTATGCTTCCATAAGATCTAAAAGACTGAGCATAAGCTCGTTACCTTCATTCTTCAGTTTTTATTATGATCAGTCATGACTTAGAAAACTCTGTGAGTTAGGATTCCCTCTACATTTTCATTATTGAAGTGTATTATATAATTGTTTTTGAAGTAAAGCATGTTGCCTTTATTAAGATTATTTGTGGCCACAGTAAATGAAAGTGTGTTTAAATCTGGAAGATGTTTGCATAATATTCCTATCTTTATGAGGGATTTAGGCTCAGTCAATCCTTTTTATGAGATGAGACTGATCATCCCGCCTATAGCAACAAGTTATACCCTTGATAATTAAAATGTAAACAGAGTCATAACTTGTGAATCGGCCTTTCTCACTGCTATTGCAAGTCTCCCTAAATTTTTTTGTGTATGGCAACACCCCTTCAAGAATGCAGGGTATGTGGTTGCATAACCAGCATAATTAAAGAATCCATGATGACGTTGTAAGACTACAATCTTTTTTTAAGCTAATGTTAGTTGGGCTTTTCTTTAAACTATAACTGATTCCCTTTTAAGTAGAAATAAGAGAAAAGAGGAGGAAAGGATTATTTCTTATTTTTATTTCAATGACATTTAGTTGAAGCTTCTTTAACAGTTGTAGTGTTAAAGTTTTGGGGGTATTTTTGTTTGTTTTTTGAGATAGTGTCTCCCTGCAGCCCCAGCTGGCCTGGAACTCACTATGTAGACCAGACTAGCCTTGATCTCATAGAGATCCGCCTGTCTCCCAGTGCTCAGATTGAAGGCATGCACCACCACACCCAGCTGCAATGATAAAGCTTAACCTACATATTTGAAGAATCTTCAGGACTTGTATATCCTTGACTTTTTTTTCTTTTTCTTTATTATATGCAATTAGAGAAAACTTAAGAGTTTTTTAAAATTTTATACTTCTTTTACTTGTAATGATATTTTCTTTATATAACCAAAATGAAATTGCCTCTAAAATAATTGGCTAGTGTCCAGTGATTCCACTTAACATTGGAGGTGGTGAGAAAGGGACCAAGGAATTCTCCTCTGAATCAAGTTTTTTTTTTTTATAAAAGGGGAAACTGATATATAGTTTCCTAGAGATACATTATGTACTAGCTTTGGAACCGTACTTTAAAGCCAAACCCTTTCTTTCCTGAAGAATGGCATTTCAAGGAACCACACACAGAACGTTGTTTAAAACTACAATTCACTTCATATCATTGATCCAATGTATATCAAAAAAGGAGGGATGGAAGTAAGGTGAAAGAGGCAAAAATATTTTTCTTTTTAAAATAAACATTGACTTTGTCCATTTCAAACACAGATGAAGGTAGATAGAACACACACTGGAGATGTCTTTTGTTGCTGGTGTTCTCACTTAAAACCTAGAAACTTGGTTCTCTTTCTCCCTGGCTATTCCCATTGGAGAGTTTAACTCACTAGAGTGTCTTCCCCTGATAGTGCATCTTCATCTCCTGCAGTGTCAGCGTATAGCATAAACCATTCCAAGATGAGCAGTCTCATGTAGTTTTGCAACATCCTCATTTATAATTCATTTGACAAATTCCAAGCATTTTTAAGAGATAGGTTTCAAAAGCTTTATAAATATGCAGCTTTTTAAAAGACCTTCTATTTCATAATTAAGGTCTTTTGGTAAGGACAGACCCAGATAAAGTATCCTTTGTCCTACAGGGTTGGTTAGGGAGAGCTTGGAGTTATTGATACATACATAACAGCTCAAAGTAATGAAAAAGATGGGCCCTTAGATTCCTGTTGGTAGTTCACCTGCCTGCATTTTCTAGAGAAGAAGAAAACTCACTAATTAGTAACACAGTTTAGCTCTGGGTCTGGATTTTCATACCATCACCAAACTTGTATGACTTGCATATCCTTGACATTTTTTTCTTTTTCTTAATCAATTCCCATTTCACTAAAACCCCAAATATTTTCTGCTTGAATGCACAAAGATATAAAGATTAGATTACATCCTGATGTTTTGAAAAGACAGTTTCACTGGGTATCCTCAGACCAGCTCTCCCAACTTAATTTTTACAGAACGTAGTGAGCCTCTGCTCCCCTTTCTCCTCCAGTCTAACACCAGAAGGTCAGAACTGACTGCCGCACAAAACCTTGCCGTCAGTGTGAAAACATGTGATTTTGGGGACCATAGACTTTCTGCATCAAAGATCTGGACAGCCTTAACTTTTGTAAAATAATTAATAATAATTTTTCACTATTCGCTCATACTAAGCAGGAAAGCAAAATGTTTCCTGAAGTCAATGACTTTTTTATATTCTGTAACTATTTTCTAGGTTTCTACAGGTTGAGGTGTGAACAGTCATCT